TTGTTTATTTACCCCCCCCTACACACACACACTATAACATTTATACAGCACTCTCTCACCCATCACACTCTCACACCCATCACTCTCACACTCACAGCACTCTCTCACAGAGCACTCTCACACACACACACACAGCAATCTCTCACACAGCACTCTCACACCCATCACACACAGCACTCTCTGACACACAGCACTCTCACACCCATCACACACAGCACTCTCACACATCACTCACACACGGCACTCTCACACACACACCGCACCCCTCACACACACACATACTGCACCCCTCACATACACACAAAACCTCCCCAACACACTGCACCACACACATACACAATACTTCCAAATATATAAATATATATATATATACATATATATATATATATACACACACACACACTACACTATTAAAGGACCACTCTAGGCACCCAGACCAATTCAGCTTAATGAAGTGGTCTGGGTGCCAGGTCCTTCTAGGCTTAACCCATTGTTTTATAAACATAGCAGTTTCAGAGAAACTGCTATGTTTATCAATGGGTTAAGCCTTCCCCAAAGTTTTGGGATGCTATGCGTTTTCACCGTGAAAATCACAGTGAGAGCACGCCAGCGTCCATAGGAAAGCATTATGAATGCTTTCCTATGTGACCGGCTGAATGCGTGCGCAGCTCTTGCCGCGCGTGCGCATACAGCCGACGGGGAGGAGAAGAGGAGGATTGGAGGAGGAGAGCTCTCCGCCCAGCGCTGGAAAAAGGTAAGTTTTACCCCTTTTCCCCTTTCCAGAGCTGGGCGGAAGGGGGCCCCTGAGGGTGGGGCACCCTCAGGGCACTATAGTGCCAGGAAAACGAGTATGTTTTCCTGGCACTATAGTGGTCCTTTAACATACACACTCTGGATCCCCTATACACACACTAGATTCCTTGTAAGCAAACACATACTACACCCCTAAACACACACATACTATAGCCTGTATGCACGTGGTCGGTTTTATTGTCGTCTTATGTGTCTGGAGGTTGGGTGTGTCGTGTAGTTGGTTCCAGGGCATGGTTGTGTGTAGTGTTATTTGTCGTCTGTTATTGTGGCAGCCATATGGTTAAGTGTCCTTGTTCCTGATTGTGTCTTTGTGGGTGTTCATGTGTGTGATTCATGGTTGTGATCCTGTCTGTGTGCAGTATGTTCATCTCGGGTAACATCGGTTGTTGTCGTAGTGTGGTGCTGTCTGGGTGCGGGTTATTGTGGGATGTGTGAGGTAGTCCGCCTCCCGTACCCGTCCGGTCCGCCGCATCTCGCCGTCTTTGATTCGCTTCTTGTAGTACTTACTTCCTCGTCTACCCGTCGTCTTTTATTGATCGATTATGTGATGACTGAATGAGTCCGACGTAATCAGTCTCGTCCAGTGGAACCAGCGTTTGGTGTGGCGGTCTCTGAGGTTCAGGGTGTCTGCTTTCATGTCCTCGAATGTCCTTGTGGCTTCCACCTCCTCTATCCACTTTGTTATGGATGGTATGTTGGTTTGCTTCCAGTAAATAGGGATGGTCACTTGTAGGAGTTTAGGAGTCTCGGGATAACCGATCTCTTGTATGTTGGTGTCGCCATAGTTGTGTGGTGTAGAAGGAAGGGGGCTGGGGACTGTGGCAGGTGCTCATCTGTGACCTCCTGTATTATTGACCGGATTCTGTCCCAGAATGGTCTAATGCGGGCGCATGTCCACCATATGTGCGTGAACGTTCCGGTCTCCTCCCAACGAGATGTTGGGAGGAGACCGGAACGTTCAGCGCTATGCGCTGAGATTTGCCCTTCCAGATAAAAGTGCGAAATTCTGTCTTAAGTGTCGCAAAGAATGTTTGGAAGTGCGTTTCTTGGATGAACGTTATTGTTGCTTTGTAGTGTTTCAGCATGTATCCGGGATTTCTGGGTTTCTGGCGTGAAGTGCTCTCGGTGTCAGGTTCCATCTGGTAAATATCTTATATGAGTTTTCTTGTGTGCGTGCCGAGCTCAGTGTTTTCTGTATCAGGGTCATGCTTTTATCCCAGTCCGCTTCCGTCATCTGCTCCTCCAAGTCTTCTTCCCACTTTCTGATGCACGGTGGTGCTAGGAGGTATCTGCTCGTTATCAGGATAGTGTATATTTGTGAGATGGCTCGTGGTGGTTCCTTGTCATGTGTGCATAAGTTTTCGAATTGTGTTGGTTCCCTTGTGATTGCCGGTTGTTGCGGGATGGATCTAGCTTATTGGGTGATTTGGGCTCTTGCTAGGGTGTGAGCAAATGTGTGTGGTCTGCCTGGGTAGATGTCCGCCAGTGGTCGGATTTCAAACGGGTGGCGGAGGACATCTTTAATGCGGGGTATCCTTGTCTGTCCCGCCGGGCCTGGTGTGGGGTCATATTCCCCTGCCGGGAAATCTGGGTTTCCCTTTAGGGGCAGGAGCGGGCCTGGGTCCGTTGTCAGGTAGTGTTTTGTGCCTTGTCCGTGCCATACTTGCATGGTTGCCGCTACGAACGGGTTGGTGACATGTTTGCTCCCGTATGTTGTCTTGGGGATCCATGGTAGGGTTCTGAGGTCGCATCTGGTTGTGTCCGCTTCTAGTTGTGTCCATGGTTTTGCGCCGCTGGCCACCGACCAGCTGACTACTCTGGCGATTTGTTTCACGGAGGCAAAGTCGGGGAGTGCCAGGACCCCCTTGAGCTTGGGCAGGATCAGTTGGGTATGCGCTATGCGCTGAGATTTGCCCTTCCAGATAAAAGTGCGAAATTCTGTCTTAAGTGTCGCAAAGAATGTTTGGAAGTGCGTTTCTTGGATGAACGTTATTGTTGCTTTGTAGTGTTTCAGGTCTCGTAGCAATCTTGTTCGTTTCTCCCTAACATTTAGGCCTCGTACATTGTAGGAAACTATGCATAGGTCCTCTCTTGCGAAGCCGTTGAGTTCTTGTGCCGGCATCCTCGCGGTGGCCCAGAGGGGCAACGGGGGCGGGGCGGGGCTTGGGTGCGGGTGTGTGTGTGTAGGTGTGCGGTTCGGTGCTGTCTTTTTATCGTCTGGGCTCCGGCTCCAGCTTAATGGGTACTTGCTGTTGGTTGTTTTGAGGGTGTATAGGGTAATGGACAGGTGTCCCGGTTGTTCGGCCTATAGGTCCCACCAAATGGTGTGCCTGTGTCGGTGCCGGGAGTAGTATGTCCCCTTTGGAGTGGGGATTTTCGTGTCCTATGCCTGTTGGGGTGTCGGGCTCTATGTCCCGGTGTGTCCAGTCTGCCGAGTGGCGTCCGTCCGTGCTGTGAAGGTGAGAGACGTGATACCTGGTTCGGTATGTAGGGTGTGGTCGCATGTCTCCTTAGCGGCTGTGATATTGGAGCATCCGCTCCCTCTCTTCGGTATTGTGCTTGTATGGGTCATCTTTTATGTATCATGTGTGCTACTGTCTGCCGCGGTGGTGCTTCTCAACTTGTGTGTGTTTTGTCTCATAAATGATCTCACTCCGTGTGTTCCTATCTAGGCGCGTGTTTGTTACAGTTCCTGGTCTTGTGGGGCCGGGGCCTCCCTATTATCCGGGTCTGTGAGTGGTGTCATTCTAGTGGGGTAACTTGACTGGTGGCGCTACCTTCCTGCCTGTGTCACATCAATTATATGGGCGTGTTGTGGGTGTGGGTTCGGCGTGTCTGGAGTTCAATCCCTGTATTCTCCTACTTTCCATGGCTCCAGCGTGACTAGTAGTTCTATGTCCTACTCCATCTCTGGCTTCTGTTTGGTGTCTATGTCACCTGTTGTGTCGGGGGGCTGCCTGACGGCTACGTGTGTGTGATGCGGGTCTTATGTAGTATGTTGCCCATGCGCTAGTGTGGTGGGTGGGGTCCCCTTGGGGTAATGTCGTGTCGGGTTCCTGTTGGTCTTTCTTGGGTGCTTTCCTCTTGGGCCCCTTTGCCAATGGTTCCCTTGGCGTCTATGCTTAGTGTGTACCTGTGGTTTGCTTGTGCAATGATTCCGTCGGATATTGTGCCTATGTATTTTGCCTATGAATAACTATCGCGGGCCCCCTTCTGTCTTCCCCTAGCTCCCAGTATCCTCCCACTGGCTTGGCCCACCCGTCTCTTTCTCGTTCGTTCCCCCCCCCTCCGTTTCCTTGCTTGTGTTCTGTGCCTCCCTCATTCCCTTCCTCCCCCAGCATACATACATGAGTTGTGGTACCATGTTTTTTTTTTTTTCCTTCCCCCACCCCTCTTCTCCCGGGGGGTTTGTGTGTGTGTGTGTTTCCCCTTCCCTCCCCTACCTCCTCCCCGTCTTCCCCCCTTTCATTTGACATTTCCCCTTCTTGCCCTCCCTCCCCCCTGTTCGTTGTGTCTTTGTTGGCGTCCTCCAGCCAGTATTGTGTCCCATGTCGTGACACAGCCAAGTTGCGCCATCCGTGCGCCCGTTTGGGTTGTGTCATGCCGGTGTAGGAGCTGGATCCCGTATCCCGCCCCAAACGTCCTGTTTAGCCCTCCCCATGGCTCTGTCAGCATGCAAGGAGTTTCCTCAGCATGGAACCCTTGCCGTTGGCAGTCCCTTCGGTGTTTGCTTCGCTCCTGTTCCCCCATGCCACCACCCCCCTCCCCAGCGTGTGCCAGTGTGGCTGATATATTTTCTTGTGTCACCCCAAATAGTACTCACAGTTTGCCCTTTGTGTCCTGTTGCGTGTTGGTCCCCGGACTGTCGGCCCCTCCTCTCAGTGTGGTGCTCTGTTAGTTCTCCTGCTCCCGTCATGCCGGGCCTGGGTTCCAGTCTCTGCGTCACTGTTGCTGGAGTCTTGGGGGGCCCTGGTCTGGTCTGCGCGGCTGTTGCGGTCCAGGCGGTGGTTGGAGAAAAGATCTTGCCGGCCATTCTGGTACTTGAATCGGTGGGATGCCCATGGCTCGAAGGAAACCTGGAAGGTCGCTTGGTCTCCTCACCATAAGTTGATCCGGGCCGTGTCTAGCTGAGAGTGAGAATGGGTAACCCCAGCGGTATGGTATTCCTGCTTGTCGCATGGCGGATGTTACTGGGCGTAGCGCCCTTCTGGCTTGTAGGGTGTATCTAGATAGGCTGTGCGCAGGATGTCTTCTTTCAATTGGTCATTTTCTAGGCAGCATATGATATCTCTTGGTTGTTCTTCTGGCGGCGGCATTGGTCCCAGTACCCTGTGTGCCCTTACTATGCCTAGTCTGGGTATTTGCTTGCCCCCCAGTACCTGAGTGAACAGTCGCTTTAGGATGTCAGGTATGTGTTCCGCTGGGTCACCCTCCCTCACCCCGCGGACGCGCAGGTTCAGCCTGCGGCCACGGTTGTCCAGGTCGTCCACCCACGTGGTGAGGCTGGCTAGGTCTGCTTCCTGGCTGGTAACTGTGGTGTTGGTGTGTTCTAGGTCTGTGCGGAGCACCCTGGTCTCAGACTGCGCTACTGACATGCGGGCCTCCACATTAGCCAGGTCTGCACGTAGCTGGGCCACCTCCTCTCTCACTACCCTGCCCAGGCGATCTGACAAGGCCTCAAAGTCTGCCTTAGTTAGTAAGTTTGGCAGTATGGCCCTCCACTCACCCTCCTGCATTTGTTGTGGCTCAGACATGATTGAGGGTGTAGGTGACAGTCTGGCCGGTGTGGAGGGGAAGGATTCCATGCCCTGGCTTATCTCCTCCATCTCCCGTTGCGGTGACCCCGGGCGGGCCATGGCTTGAAGGTAGGAGCAGATGGATTGCTCCCCTTCCCTGCCTGACGACCTCGGGGTGCCTCTGGGGTCCGTGTGCGACCCATTATTTGTGCGTGGGCGAGCGGTATGCGCTGTTATTGCTTCCGGATTGCAGGCGCCACGAGGAGCTCCTGCACTAGGCGTCCATCTTCCTCGGCCGCCGGACACGCCCCCTCAACAACTCAACTTTGGTTTCATCTGTCCACAGAATATTTTGCCAGCACTGCTGTGGAACATCCAGATGCTCTTGTGCAAACTGTAAACGTGCAGCAATGTTTTGTTTGGACAGCAGTGGCTTCCTCTGTGGTATCCTCCCATGAAATCCATTCTTGTTTAGTGTTTTACGTATTGTAGATTCGCTAACAGGGATGTTAGAATTTGCCAGTGACTTTTGTAAGTCTTTAGCTGACACTCTAGGATTCTTCACCTCATTGAGCAGTCTGCGCTGTGCTCTTGCAGTCATCTTTACAGGACGGCCATTCCTAGGGAGAGTAGCAGCAGCTGAACTTTCTCCATTTATAGACAATTTGTCTTACCGTGGACTGATGAACAGCAAGGCTTTTGGAGATACTTTTATAACCCTTTCCAGCTTTATGCAAGTCAACAATTCTTAATCGTAGGTCTTCTGAGAGCTCTTTTGTGCGAGGCATCATTCTCATCAGGCAATGCTTCTTGTGAAAAGCAAACCCAGAACTGGAGTGTGTTTTTTATAGGGCAGGGCAGCTGTAACCAACACCTCCAATCTCATCTCATTGATTGGACTCCAGTTGGCTGACATCTCACTCCAATTAGCTCTTGGAGATGTCATTAGTCTAGGGGTTCACATACTTTTTCCACCTGCACTGTGAATGTTTACATGGTGTGTTCAATAAAAACATGGCAACATTTCATTCTTTGTGTGTTATTAGTTTAAGCAGATTGTGATTGTCTATTGTTGTGACTTAGATGATGATCAGATCACATTTTATGACCAATTTGTGCAGAAATCCATATCATTCCAAAGGGTTCACATACTTTTTATTGCAACTGTATAAGCATAATTAACATTTTTTTTTTACTTTTATAATATCAATTTGGGGAATGCAAAACAGTGGGTGATAGATTGGGGAAATAGTGGAATGGAGATATCAACTGTGGGGTTTTGGAGGTGAAATAAGAGAGACAATTTACTTGTTTTACATCTGTAAAGTCATAGTTGTTGTAGGTGTTTTATGGGGTATGGTCTAGATTTTGGTAGGTGGTTGATTTTGTCCTTTAAATCATGCTGAATGATGACTTAAGTCAGCCCTCTTGTAGGAGGTGCAGTGCTCCAGAGAACCCTGGAATTCAAAAGCCTGGTCCACAGAAGCACCTCTTGTAATCTCTATTGCCATTATAGTGGACATATACTGCCCCATCATTAAATGTACTGCTGAGAGTATCCACGCTTACATAAAAACATGTTCTTACCATATCAGGCAGATTCATCACTCTCATAGGATTCTGTAGTCTCCACATAATCAACTTGTGTCTCATTAATATATTTAGGAGACTCTTCATTTTTCCCATTGCCCAGTTCAGGAGTTTCATCAATAAGGCACGGATCACATATTTCAGGTTCTCTAAATGATTTACAAACAATATATAAATCAAACCAGCTTCTTGGTCAAAGTAGTAACCATATGGATCTGAGAAAAATAGTTCAGAGAGATTTATCTGCAATAATTAACATTGACCAAAATGTCACAGACAGAAATGTGGGTTGTGTCGTGCCTGCTCTGCTAAATGGATATTAAGGGGAAACAAACATATTTGTTTAGAACATTAGAGTTTACAGCACTGGTGTGTACCTTCTCAAATATCTATCAATGAGTAGACCTGGCAGGGAGAACAGTATGGCAGGAGTAGGCTACAGAGTATTCAGATCTCGCCCTTGTCTAGCCAAGAGATAATGAGCACCATATTCGGGGCTTTGGCCCCTAAGCATAATCCATAAATGCCCCCATCTTGCAGTTGTACTAAAAATAATATCTCTATAGTGTATATTATACATAGGAGCTCATTGTGCCAGCTGGCTTTCTACCTTTTGGTATTGATCTTGGACTTACACAATGCGTGGCTGGATGATGTTCACAACTGTATCATCTGTTATCACCACTTCATCATCTTGTTTTTGTTGTTGTTCTGTTTGGCCATAAATGGTTTCTGGGACATTGCTGATAGTAAAAATAATAATAATAATAATAATGATAATAATAAACACATATTATAGAACACTCATGTGATTTAAAGGAACCCTAGCTAGCATACTTTCTAACATGTAACCAGGGAAATATTAAAATATTGAACCATATGTGGCTCCACAATACAATTTACATAAAATGCTTTTATAGAAATTAGCACATTTTCCTTATTTTTAGGCAAATTATACACAATATTTTACCAGTAAAGAAATAGATATGAAGCCATTTTTCCTAAAGAGGTGTGTCATTCAGGATTAGTCTCAAAATGTGCATTCTATTACCCTGTAATAAATAGCCATACATCAATTTCAGATATATTTAGAGGCACATTCTGAGCTTAAAGGGATTGTATCGGCACCCCCAGGCATAAAAGGGGTTAAATGCCGTTTAGTAGATCTTCCCTTCCAGAGACACAGGCACAGCTACTGCAGAACACCAATCCGCCGAACAGGAAACCATACGAATGCTGTAAACAGCCGAACAGGAAAAAACATACCAATAGGTTTACACTCCTAGCAGTCAAACTGGAACAGCATACAGTAAATCCTCCCAAGAGCGAGACAAAGCTCCGTGTTGAGGGTCAAGCAGTGAACAGACAGAGCTGTGGGTTTATTGTTCTTATATACACATTAGTACCACCCACAGGGTTTTGGAACACAACCAATTAACACATACAATAAACTCAGACACTCCCACACAAAATCCTCCCCTCTGCCTGTGATACAATTACCTTACACAATGGGTAATGTAATTATCACAAGCAGAGAAATACAATTTTCAGAATCAGCATACTCCAAATACAAACATACGTCAAAATCATCCAAATTGGTCCAGTGGTTCAAAAGATAGATCGTAGTCCTTTGTGACCAAAGGAAGCATGGCTTTTCTGCCAAAAAACAGTTCCACAGAGTCTTCTATCCTGGAGATAATTGTGAAATAATCCAATTATCTCCAAGGACAGAGGCAAAACTCCATTGAACACATGGCAGCAAAAGACAATAAAACACATAAAAACATATAACTGTGCAGTCATTGCACAAAACAGGTACATTCAACATATCCCCAGATAGCTCAGATCTGAGCGCACATTATTACTGAATGGCGCTCAGAGCACACACATACAGTTCAATTGCCATGGAGCCAAAGTCTTTCCCATAGTCTTTCATTAATGTGCTCCATGGCATAGCTATCTGGGGTATCACCGCTCAAACAGGGCAAGCACCAAATGACCCAGCTTTCATGTCTTTTCAGGGGCCATAGTCTAAAGGCAGCAGGCGGGCAACCAGGCTTCTCCAATGCAATGTGGCGAGATTGCTCTCATCACAGGGATATTCCAGACATGTGTTATTTTTGTTTGTTTTACATTTACAGATTTCTATAGAAACTGGCACCTTGTTAAGGCCTTACTTTATCAAATTTTGCAAAAGCCTTTTTGGATCTATGGGTTTTCCTTAGATCCAAAGCTATTGGCAACTTACCCTCTAGCTCTCAAAAATTGATTAACAAAATTACACTGGCAACAAGGAGAGCTGGTTAGTTACATTCTACTGTACCTACTGGCTGACATTAGGAGTAAAATTGTTAAAATGTATTTAAAGGACCACTATAGGCACCTAGACCACTTCAGCTTAATGAAGTGGTCTGGGTGCCAGGTCCATCTAGGATTAACCCTTGCTGCTGTAAACATTGCAGTTTCAAAGAAACTGCTATGTTTACAAATGGGTTAATCCAGCCTCGAGTGGCTGTCTCATTGACAGCCGCTAGAGGCGCTTCCGCGCTTCTCACTGTGATTTTCATTGAGAATGCTTTCCTATGGACTGACTGAATGCGCGTGCGACTCATGCCGTGCATGCACATTCAGCCGATGATGGGGAAAGGAGGAGGAGAGACCCCAGCACCGAGGGAGCCCGGCGCTGCATAAAAGGTAAGGGATTAACCCCTTCCTCCCCCTAGAGCCCGGTGGGAGGGGGGCCCTGAGGGTGAGGGGGACCCAAGGACCCTATAGAGCCAGGAACATGAGTATGTTTTCTTGGCACTATAGTGGTCCTTTAATGGACAAAAATATGGTACATAACTCTATGAAGCTCTTTTCTAAGGTGTGAGCTCCTCGGTTGCCTGAATGAATTGTTTTATGGTTCTGGTCTCGCAGTGATTGGCTGGGTTTGTTTTGATTCTGGTTCTTATTTTCTTTTGGTTGTTTTTAGTTTTATTTTATTTTTCATCTTATCCCTTCTTTTGGCATGGAAATGCTAGAGAGACGCAGGCTAAGAACTGGTCTGTTTACCTAAACACTACTTTGTAAAAAGTATTTTTAGGCATAAGTTGTTAATTCAAAATGTTTTGGATATTTTGTCACTTGTCATTTGTAATGACTGATTGTATGTAAAGCAACATAAAAATAAAGAATTAGAAAGAGTAACAGGACTGGTTGTTTGATTAAAAGCCATGGGGTGTTTTTAATCAAACAACCAGTCCTGTTACTTCCTGGTTTGGTTATTTCAGTGGAGCTAAACTCAAGAGGCAGGCAGTGAGTAAGAGAACCTGCCTTACATAGACTTCTCATTGAGCTGCATTGTGAGGTCTTGTGATTGGACAGCCACAGAAAGTCTGGGCGGGGTTAGAAAAGGAGGGCTTGTAATTGGCAGCTTTACAAGTTGTTTTTAGATATTATCCCTAATGATAAATGCATGTTTTCATTGGGGTATATCTACTAATTAGTCATTTTAAATTTAATTTATTTTCATATTTAAACATTGGAGTGTCCCATTAATAGATAATCTGTAGCACATACATTGAGATGTATATGGCTGCTAAGCCAGGAATCTTCAGATTTATCTGAATAGACCATTATCTTGTAAAACTGGGCCTTCACACTTTCTAACTGGATCATTTCCACATCATTAACTTCTATGACACCATCTGTGGTTGGTTGGATGTTAATTGTTTCCAGGATATTGCTGACAAAAAGGAATAACAAAAAGAGATTAAATCCCCAATCCTGTATTTGATCTGCACCAACCAGGCTCATTAACTAAAGTGAGAATTGTCAGGATATCAAAATGTCTTGGGCCATCCTTACCTGTATGTATTTTATTTGTCACTGTGTAATATACTGTTGCTTTAATAATGACATAACCGTAATAACGCCAGAAATTACCCCTCCTGTGAAACTGCAGAGCTTGGATCCATGTCTCCTTTCGTCTCTGGTGTCCACTGATCTTTGGATTGGCCCTCTGCAGTTTTGTCAGTATTTATTCTAGGTGATTGGTTATTGCTGTAACAAAGTATACACATAGGAACTGTGTCTGAGTACCAACATTTCTATGGTATAATAATGCCAGTAATAGTAATATTATAATGCCATACAACTTATTTGAAACGTTTTGTAAAGCGATTTGTCTCCTATATAGTCACAGTTTTAAAGTACATGAATATTCATTCATGATTATTTGAAACACTTTCCTTTCCCTGTGCTCCTATCCTGTTTTTTGTTTTGTTTTGTTTTTTTAACAAGAAATGTAATTAAATTCTCTGCTGAAGCTCCAGTAGGTTCCTCTGCATTTTTAGATTGTAAGCTCATTTGGGCAGAGCCCTCTTCATCTGTTTATGTCAAGCATGTTTTGTTTAAATTTAGTGTCTGTTTAATTTATCTATTGTACAGCGCTGCAGAACATGTTGGCGCTACATAAACTATTCTAATTGTACAGAGGGACTTTAAATATTCATCAGTTGAATAACAACCAGGGATTGATAAGGAAGGGAAATGTCAAGACATACATGTAATTATGTTTGAAATACAGATGGCTGGTTTTAGCTCAGCAGCCGTGTATACGGTATGAGCTGTGCGTTCACATACACCAATTACGGGTGCATTTTGAGAATCTACATTTCCAGAAATGCCCGCACTTTCCTTACATATGAATAAAATATTTGACATGTTTATGTACTTTTGTCACACATTCTGACAAAGACTTTCCAAAACGTTATACCCGCCAGACTAATCATATCATAATGGTTACACTTATAGTGGCGGGACATCAATATTTTAATTGAAATAATATAACATCAATGAACATTATTGCTTTTACTATATATATTTTTTTCAAAGTCCATACATGTTATTGGCTTCAGTCCTATTAGCGAATACCCCCCAAAAATATATATATTTTAAATTTCATCTAATACTAATCCCCTTAGAGATTTCTGAACAGGACATACGGTATATTAAATAAACAAACACTTGTAGTGAATGATATGAGAACAGACTAACAAAATTAAGGTTAAAGAATATTTTCCCTATATGTCTATACATTGTACAAAGTGGTTCCCAGATATCCACAACTGTTATCCGTAATAAAACTTTTTTTTACATTTTAAACTTTAAAGAAATGTCTAAATATAAATAACAACTGAACAGAGTTAAAAGTTTCAAAACAAGTGCACATATAAACTAATAAGGGCATGAATTACCAAAATTATCATTACAAATATCCAAATTCTGTACAATGTTATTTCGGCTCAGAAACAGTCATTTCATATCACTGCATCAAATTGCTCAAACAGTGTAGGGACACAGTGAATGTAACACAGAATAAATCTACCACTATACAGGTAAGCACAGTAAGCAGAGTTAAATTGGCTGATTTATGTCAGTATCTACACTTATTATAAAGTTAAATGTACAGTACCTGCCTCCTGGATAATTCCACTAATGTACAGAGTGCAACAGAAGTTTCATCTCCACATTCTGAACGTAAGACTCCGAAATATACTGCTTGCTATAAAATGTGTTCCATTTATTGCGCAAAATTTGTTGGAGTACATGTTCAAACACCACCTGATTTGACACAGTGCCATAGTCAACTTTAAAAAAAAAAATGTACTCCACCCCTCTATGTTCTCTTAAATATGTGTCAGGTTTAACCCTTTCTTCAAAACTGTTAATGTAACTAACGTAAAAGATTTACATTCATTATATCAAGAAAGAATAAATGGAAAACCAAAGTATATACATAGAGAAAAAACATATATGAAGAAAAGTGATAGTTTGTCCCAGCTCAGCCCTGTCCATGGTGATTACCACACGTTTAGTACTTTAGAACACTTTAATACATCTACTTTATTGACTTTAAAAAGTTGACCTTAAAATCTCAGAGATGAAAAAACAGGTGCATTACTGACACTACTGTTGCCCAATCACATAGGGTTACTTACTAAAGTGAGAATTGTCGGTAATTTTAAGTGAATTCAAATGGAATTTCAAATTGTAAGGCCAAAGTAGCTGAATTGAAACACTTCTCTAAGTAAGCTATGCTGACTATTTTGGTCTAAAATTTTAAATTCAGTTTGAATTCATGACAATTCTCACTTTAGTGAGTGACCCTGTAAAAGATTCTTTGAGCTATAATCACTTTAATGTTATAGTGATTATAGTGCTCAGAGTACCCCTTTAATATCACATGATTTTTCACAGAGCATGCTGCATTTATTATGAAACTTTCCTTTTTTTTTTTTCCTTTTTTTTTTTTTAAATGTGAAGGTAAAGGGGTGTAGAACTTTTCCTAATTGTTTCACTGAGCCAGATAGGTGCTGTTTCAACATGTATTGACTGTATAATATCTTGTGGAATAAACGGAACACGTTTTATAGCAGTAGATGTAGTTTGATGTCTCACTATGTGATGGTGATGAATCTACTGTCACAAATTGTATAATAATAAAAAAAAATACACTCTATATCACACAGTGTGTACCCTACAAGTGATAAAATATAATACAATGTACCCTATAAAAATGTAGATTGTAAGAAGATTCCTGCAATCTTCTGGATAAAAATAGTATACATTCAATCAATTGTCAGTTGTAAGTGCAATATATTCTCTACACTTAGTGTGGTGCCTTACAATATTATACTATTTGCGTTCCTTGTGCGTTCTTTTAGATTGTATTTATACTACAAGCTGTGTAATAGTGGATTTTGCACAGCTGGCTGGTCCTGTGAATTTTTACTTTATTGTTAGTACAGTTAATGACAAATACCAGATAAAGTACTCACACAGTGGCCAGTGTATTCTATGTTTGCAAATTGTATGCAATAGGAATTCAAAAATTTAAAAACCAAGAGAATTGTATTGTGTTTTGAGATGAACTGAAATGAAATAAGCAAAATGCTTATGTATATGGTTAAAATTAAACATAAATTATTAAAATGTACATGATCAGTTTGGTTGCATATATAGATGTTGGAGAATAGCTCTATCAGTCTGCATTATTACACATTACCTTTTCCCTTCCCCAAAAATTGTTTTCTTACTTGCACAACTCCAGATATATCTTTCTCTGTGTTCCTTAGAACGTCAGTAAGCATGCTAATTGATAGGTTAAAAAAAGACATGTATTCATAATATTTTATTTATTTAGATCCAGCTAAAGAGTACACAAAAGAGTTGACACACATTCATCTCTTATCCACTGGTAATATTATTATGGCTTAATTTAACCTTACAAATCATATTGGCCTTAAAGGCTTAAATATAGGCACCAAAACAACTTAAGCTTAATGAGACCGTTTTAGTATATAGATCATGCCCCCAAAGTCTCACTGTTCAATTCTATGCTGTTTAGGAATTAAATCACTTTGTTTATCTAGCCCTAGCCACACACCCCTGCATGTGACTTGCACAGCCTTTCTAAACACTTCCTAGTTTATTAAGCTAAAGTTGTTGTTTTTTTTGTTGTGCAGGTAGGTACACAGCTTTGTCAAAACGCCACAACAGCGTATATATATAAATGCATACAGGCTAGATAGTGGCATGAGGTTTTGCACATTTTTCATTTATAAACAAGCGTAACGTAACTGAAGGGTCTCTGCAGTGAAAATTAGTAAGTATGTGGGGTATGCTTGTGGTGCAGGAAAATAATATTGTTTAAGTCAGGCTTGGTACAGGCTAGTATATGTAGCAACATATGTGGCTCTCCTGTAGTGTAAGCAAGATTAAAACACATTAAGCATGTTGGCCTGCTGGATTGTAAGCGAGGTGCGTGTGTATAATGTTGTGTTCTAGAGGAAACTGTTTAGGTGAGCTTGTGTAATGTTGCTAATGAGGTTAACCCCTGGACTGTAGTGTAACATGTACAGTGTACTCAGCTGCAGGTAGGCGACTAAAGAGTCAAAGATAATATAAGCAATAACATAAAATGAAATTGCCGCATGGGTGTAGAAGGGCATAGTAGAGCACCCTGGGCCATTTGTGACATAGAGAACTGTGTTCTTGAGCCATGCGGGTGATGTGTTTGGAGTGGCATGTCCATGTCAGCCAATGCCTCGGCTTGGTATAGTGTGTGAGCCTCTGGGTTTTGTTGAATGAGGGAGGTACGCCAGTGTGTCGGCTTGGCTTCTCCAGGCCTGAGAGTGGGTTTGCTTCTGGGATCCATGGTCCCGGGCTCTGTGAGATGCCAAGTCCGTCCCCGCCGAGGGACTGTGGAGGCTTCGGGTGGTCCTCCAATTGACACGGGTGCTGAGTGTCCGCCGTTGTGGTCTATGCTGTGCAGTTGTGGGTGCAGCAGCCCTCCGCCCCGCTGTGTCTGAGGCAGGGTTTACCAATGCTTTCGGGGATGCTTTGCCCATAGGAGGCTCAGGTTTTCCTTGGCTCTTGCCACTCCGCATGTTCCCTTGTAGCTGGGGTCATGAAGGTAGTGTTCGGGCTTCTATCTTTTGCCAGAACCTCTCAACACCTTATCCATGCGTTGCAGCATGTCGTCTTCCAAGCCCGGTAGGGTAGTCTCCGGCCTGTGCAGCTCGCGCCCCTGCTCAGGGAGCTTGTCCGCCATCTTGAATGTTTCAGCCGTATACACCATGTGTCAGGTGTTGGTCATCTGAGTGCAGCATGAGTATAAGGGACTAGCCAGGGGGGACTGGGATATCCCCCGCCGGTCCATGGGGGGGGTAGCACTAGTTGGGTGTCTCACCGCCAGTCAAATCAGTAGGAGAGCAGCTGTTTCTCCTCTGCCTGGTCACTGGTAGGCCGCAAAGCCTCGAGTCAGGGTTTTCAGTGGCGGAGAGGCCCGCGAGAGGTGTTCCCCGCGCCACCGGCGTTTCAGGAGCAGGCTTAGTCGAACTCTGTGTCCATGTAAGTGTTTGGCTTAAAAATATCATCGATTGTAAGATGCTAGATGCGGGAGCCCATGCAACACACGTCTGGACCGCTCAGTAGCCAGGTTCTGCCCCGCTAAAGTTGTGTTGGTGCATATAGTGTGCCTTTAAAGTATCAGAGCTAAAAAAAACAGGCTCATTAATGCTGCTGCTGCTGTTTTCCATCCACATAGCGTTATTTGCTAAAGTGAGAATTGTCGTTAATTCTAAGTGAATTCAAAGTGAATTTCAAATTGTAAGGCCAAAGTAGCTGAGTTGGAAAACTTTACTAAGTAAACTATGCTTCCAATTTGACTATTTTGGTCTATAATTCAACATTCACTTTGATTTTCTGACAATTCTCCCTTTAGTGAGTAACCCTGTAAAAGTTTATTTGAACCATAATCACTACAATGTTGTAGTGATTATAGTACTCGGAGTACCCCTTTAATATCTGATGCTTTATCACAGAGCATGTTGTATTTATTATGAATTTAATATGTGTTACATTGTATATCTTATATTCTAAAAAACAGTTAAACTTTCAATTTTAAAGGTAATGTAAAGGGGTGTAGAACTTTTCCTAATTGTTCCACTGAGCCATATAGGTGCTGTTTCAACATGTACTAACTGTATAAAATCTTGTGGAATAAACGGAGTACATTTTATAGCAGTAGATGTAGTTTGGTGTTTCACTATGTGATGGTGATGAATTTACTGTCACAAACTGTATAATAGTGGATTTAGCGCAGCTGGCTGGTGTTGTGAATTTTTACTTTATTGTTAGTGCAGTTAATGACAGATAGCAGATAAATTACTCACACAGTGATAACTAGCAAAGTGGCCAACGTATTCTATGTTGCAAATTTTTATGCAAAAAATGGGAATTCAAATATTTAACCCACAGAATTGTATTAAAGATTGATTCAGAAAATCCAGCTTGTGTGTTTTGAGATGAAATGAAAGAAAAAAAGCAACATGCTCCCACGGTTTGTATACGCAGCCAATGAACAATGGGTAAACTGAAACATAAATGATGAAATCTACATGATCAGTTTGGGTGCAGATGTATATATTATAGCTCTATCAGTCTGCATTATTACACATTACCTTTTCTTTTCCTCAAAAATGATTCCATCCTTTTGGATTTTATTTTCTACAACTCCAGATACGTCTTGCTTTGAGTTCCTTGGAAAGTCAGTAGGCATGCTAATTCTTGTTAAAAAAAAAAAAAAGTAATTTGGAATATTTCATTTATTTGGACCCAGGCAAAGAGTACACAGCAGAGATAGCACACATTTATCTCTTATCTACTGTTAACATTATTTTGGTTTAATTTACCCCTATAAATCATATTGGCCTTAAAGGCTTAAATATTGGCACCAAAACAACTTAAGCTTAATGAGACAATTTTAGTATGTAGATCATGCCCCTGAAGTGTCACTACTCAATTCTATGCCGTTTAGGAGTTAAATCAGTTTGTTTATGCAGCCCTGGCCACACCTCCCTGCATGTGACCTACCCAGACTTTTCAACACTTCCTGTAAAGAGTTTTCTAATGGTGAAACTTATTTTATGGCATGTTCTTTTTAAATTTATAAATTCTTATCTCCTGCTCTGTTAATAGCCTTCTATACCCAGCAGGAGCCTCCTGTGTATAATTAAAGTTCAATTTACAGAACAGGAGATAAAAACGTCTGAAGCAAATTTACATCTTATTGAAAATGAAACCATTTTCTTCGTGCAGGCTGTGTCATTCACAGCCAGGGGGGGCATGTCAAGGGCTGCATAAACAAAAACAAAGTGATTTAACTCCTAAATGGCAGAGACTTGAGCAGTGAGATTGCAGGGTCATGATCTATACACCAAAACTGGTTTATTAAGCTAAATTTCTTTTGGTGCCTATAGCGTCCCTTTAAAGTATCAGAGCTGAAATAACAGGTACATTAATGCTCCTGCTGTTTTCCATCCACATAGGGTTATTTGCTAAAGTGAGAATTGTCGTTAATTCTAAGTGAATTCAAAGTGAATTTCAAATTGTAAGGCCAAAGTAGCTGAGTTGGAAAGTAAACTATGCTTCCAATTTGACTATTTTGGTCTACAATTCAACAATGTTGTAGTGATTATAGTACTCGGAGTACCCCTTTAATATCTGATGCTTTATCACAGAGCATGTTGTATTTATTATGAATTAATTTAATCTGTGTTACATTGTATATCTTATATTCTAAAAAACAGTTAAACTTTCAATTTTAAAGGTAATGTAAAGGGGTGTAGAACTTTTCCTAATTGTTCCACTGAGCCATATAGTGCTGTTTCAACATGTACTGACTATATAAATCTTGTGGAATAAACGGAGCACATTTTATAGCAGTAAATGTAGTTTGGTGTTTCACTATGTGATGGTGACAAATTTACTGTCACAAACTGTATAATAGTGGATTTTGCGCAGCTGCCTGGTCTTTTTTGTGTGTGAATTTTTACTTTATTGTTAGTGCAGTTAATGACAGATACCAGATAAAGTGCTCACACAGTGATAACTAGCAAAGTGGCCAACGTATTCTATGTTGCAAATTTTTATGCAAAAAATATTTATGAACCCACAGAATTGTATTAAAAATCGATTTAGAGAATCCAGTTTGTGTGTTTTGAGATGAAATGAAAGAAAACAAGCAACATTCTCCCACTGTTTGTATACGCAGCCAATGAACAATGGTTAAACTGAAACATAAATGATGAAATCTACATGATCAGTTTGGGTGCAGATATATATATTATAGCTCTATCAGTTTGCATTATTACACATTACCTTTTCTTTTCCTCAAAAATGATTCCATCCTTTTGGATTTTATCTTCCACAACTCCAGATACAACATCTTGCTCTGAGTTCCTTGGAAAGTCAGTAGGCATGCTAATTGATTGTTACAAAAAAAAAAAGTAATTTGTAATATTTCATTTATTTGGACCCAGATAAAGAGTACACAGCAGACATAGCACACATTTATCTCTTATCTACTGTTAACATTATTTTGGTTTAATTTACCCCTGTAAGTCAAATTGGCCTTAAAGGCCAAAATATAGGCTTCAAAACAACTTTAGCTTAATAAAGCAGTTTTGGTGTGTATATCATGCCCCTGCAGTCTCACTGCTAAATTCTCTTCCATTTAGGAGTTAAATCAGTTTGTTTATGCAGCCCTAGCCACACCTCCCTGCATGCAACCTACACAGCCTTTTCAACACTTCCTGTAAAGAGTTATCTAATGGTTAAATTTCCTTTATAGCACGTTCTTTTTAATTTAGAAATTCTTATCTCCTGCTCTGTTAGTAGCCATCCAGACCCACAGGAGCCTCCTGTGTGTGATTAAAGTTCAATTTACAGAGCAAGAGGTAAAAACTTCTGAAGCAAATCAACATCTGATTGAAAATTAAACCATTTTTTAAACTCTTTTAACTCTTAAATTACAGAGAATTGAAGACTGAGACTGCAGGGACATGGTCTATACCAGGGTTAGACAACCTTCGGCACTCCAGATGTTTTGGACTACATCTCCCATAATGCTCTTACAGCCACAGTGCTGGCAAAGCATCAAGGGAGATGTAGTCCCCAACATCTTTGTTGCCAAAGGTTGCCTATCCCTGGTCTATACACTAAAACTTGTTAATTAAGCTAATGTTGTTTTGGTATGAATAGTGTCCCTTTAGAGCAAACTTCCCCAAACTCAAGCCCTCTAGATGTTGCTGAACTACAACTCCCATGATTCTATGAATGAAATAGCTAGGCTGAGAATCATAGGAGTTGTAGTTCAGCAACATCTGGAGGAGTTTGGGGAAGCCTGCTTTAGAGTCTCAGAGCTGAAAAAACAGGCCCATTAAAGCTGCTGCTGTTTTCTGCTGTTTTCCATCCACATAGGGTTATTTACTATAGTGAGAATTGTCGGTAACTCTAAGTGAATTCTAAGTAAATTCTAAAATTGCAAGACCAAAGTAGCAGAATTGGAAAACTTCTCTAAGTAAGCTATGCTTCCAATTTGACTATTTTGATCTAAAATGTGAAATTCACTTTGAATTCGGTTTGAATTCCTGACACTTCTCACTTTAGTGAGTAACCTTGTAAAAGATTCTTTGTTATGGAGACGAATCTACTGTCACAAACTGTAAAATAGTGGATTTTTCTCAGCTGGCTGGTTCTGTGAATTTTTACTTTATTGTTAGTGCAGTTACTGACAGATACCACATAAAGTACTCACACAGTGATAACCTAGTATTATTACACATTACCTTTTCTCTTCCACAAAAATTATTCCATCCGTTTGGTTTTTATCTTTCACAACTCCAGATACAACATCTTCATCTGTGTTCCTTGGAATGTCAGTAGGCATGCTAATTGATTGTTACAAAAATACATGTATTCGTAATATTTCATTAATTTGGACCCAGATAAAAAGAAAAGAACACAGCAGAGATGACACACATTTATCTCTTATCTACTGTTAATATTATTTTGGTTTAACTTACCCATATAAATCATATTGGCCTTAATTGCCAAAATATAGGCTTCAAAACAACTTTAGCTTAACCCCTTAATGACCAAACATGTCATGTGTCCTTAAGGGGTTAAAAGGGACTCTCCAGTATCTAATGGTTAAACCTTTATAGTATGTTCTTTTTAATTTATTGGCCTAACTTCCATTATTGAACA